GGAGTGACATGAGTGATTTCTGGAGCTGCCCCACTCCATAGTCAGTGGCAGCTGTTTTTGTGGCAGCCTGTGGCCAGCCTCTCCTGATGGCGCACACTGGGTGGCAGCCGTACCATCATCCTCCTCCCACATCCTAAGTGGATGCGTTTCATTAGCTTGTGGCTGCAGCTGTTAACTGCTGAGCAAACGAAGCTGCTGCACGCCGTACACTGCCCGGCGATTCAGGAAGCAAGCAGTAAACAAGGGTGAGTGCGAAGTCCTCCCCGAAATACACATGCCTGGTCTGCACCTCCTCAGCCCTTTCTGGTCTGTGCTATCAGTCACTGCCGCTCGTACCCGTGATAAACTCTCTCGAGAGCTGTGCCTGCCTGCCAGACTCCTGTCTGTCTGCCTTCGCAACTGTTCGGGGGAGGAAATCAGCTGCACGCTGCGTTAGGGTAACGGGTTTGGATGTGGCTCTGGTTCTGAAGTGGTTGAGAGTAACAAGTTTGACATAAAAACATGGCGTGTCTGTTCTTCTGGTGGGCCTGCTGGTAGCTGTTGGTTACGGATCTGAAGCTAAATTGTTGTCATCTCAATTATTTTGAGAATATAGGTGGTAGGAGTTTAGTCGCAGTGGGAAACGGAGCATGGAAAGGTAATGAAATTATTATTCCCCAAGTGAAAAAGTTCCAAGAAACTGTGAGTATTCTCAGAGGTACTGTATGTCCCCTTTTTAACCTGTCTTTTTTAATGTTATCATCCCTGAATCACGCTTATGCCGTTTTAGGTACTCGTTCCAGGATGAAGAAGATATGTTTATGGTTGTAGACCTGCTGCTTGGAGGGGACCTGCGTTACCATCTCCAACAAAACGTGCGGTTCCAAGAAGGCACCGTGAAACTCTTCATCTGTGAGCTGGTGCTGGCCCTTGACTACCTCCAGAGCAGACACATCATCCACAGGTCAGCTGGGGACCTCATAGGTGCACTGGTGCTTGTAGACTGCAGTAAGGGCGGACTCGTTCCTCTTTCACGTGAAAAGACAAATAGAAGCTGAAGAGCTAAACAAAATATCCTCCCACGTATGTTGCTTTTCTCTAAAGCAGTAGGCTTCCCAGGGAAAAGCACTTCACATACAACAGGGAGCATATTATTTCTCCCTCTGGGATAGCTATGTTATAGCATTTTTGATTTGTTTGCTGATCCTGCAAAAAGCTGTCTCTAATAGGTTTAATTAACTGTAGCTCGTTAATATCCATCCTGGTCCAGGGAGGGTTGGCGTCAGCATTCAGAATTCCCCAGCTGCCACACTTGAAGGCGTCTCCCCCCTCTCTGTACCGCACTGAAAGACAAGGAAACACAGCGTTTTTCTGTATGAGGTGAAATCGCTTTCTAGAAGTGGCGAGAGTTTCTTTTTGACCACCAAGATTTTTTATGGCCAGTGAAAAAATATTTGCAGTCTTCCCACACACTCGAAGAGCAGCAGAACAGCAGAGGGGGTAGCGGTTCCCTGGCTGGAGGCGCGGGGTTTGGCTGCGGATGGATGGGTGCGTGTTTCCCATGGGTGTACCGGGCACTGCAGACCTCGGGGCTCCAAGGGTTGGACTTCGGGGCTGCTCACAGGGGTACAGACAGGGAGGGACTAGCAGAAAAGAAGATTGGCTCATTTATAAATATCACTCCAGAAGAGTGCTCTTGTGACGTGTAAAAATAAAGCGTGGTGCAAAATTTGAAACTGAAATGATCCCGGTTATTGGTAAGGGGAGGAACACGCCTTTCAAGGGCTGATGAAGATTAACGCATGTTCGTGTCCGTAGTGTTTGGCTGCAGTTTCTGGGACGTGGAGGCAGAAAGGCTGACGCCTGGCATGGCCGTGGCACAACTGCGGAGAGGGATTTTGCTCTGCTTCAGTTGGAGCCAGACCTGCCTGGGGATCGCTCCCACTTTCTCAGGAGTCTCAGCTTTCGTGCTGCTTGTTTTGTTTTATACCCGCATAGATTTCTACTCTGATGCACCGGCTCTTGGCACGCTGCCCCCAGCTGCCCCATTCCGGCTCCAGCGGGCACCGCTGTGGTCGGGACACGCAGCCGGCGTGCGGTGATGGGGACATTGCGCTGTCCGCCTGCGCCCGGCACGCGCTCACCCACACCCAATAATGCACGAGCATGAATTGAACCTCGTGAACGCTGACTCGTCCGCCTCTGTCCTGGGCAGCGGAGGGTAAATCCTCACGCTGTTGGCTTGGCCTGAACAAACCGAGTGGCGCGCAGACGTGAGAGAAGCACAGGGCACAAACCCGTCAGTGATGAGTTACAATTAGTAGTGGTGTCTACAGGACCGAGGGGATGGAGGTTCCCCGCGGTTTGGTGCTGTAAGAACGAGTCTGCAGTAGGAGACTGTTCCTTGTAATGATGAAAGACATGACAGCTACGGGAGTGCCAGATGCCACAGTCCTGCTTTGAGCCACGTCCCCACAGCCCCATGGCTGTCGGCGTCACCGCAGGGTGGGTGACATCCCACAATGGCTGCGGCGTAAGGGCAGGTACGAAGAGGACACCAAGGGGCAAAACTCCTGGGAGTTCCCAGAGGGTTATTTGTAAGTATTGAGGGGAGAAGCTAAAGTTCAGGCTGCAGTGTGTTTTTCAAGCAGCTATATGTGCTTAAGGTGAATTGAGTACAACAAAACATGTATGACAGTCTGTAAAATTTGCAGGTTATTTAATTAACACAGTAACGCGGGTTGTCCCAGTGGGACAGTATTGGATTGATAGAGTGGCTCAGCTGAGTCAATTACACTGCAACATCTGTAATTGGGATCACCAGGAGACAGGCAAGCGATCACTTATTTTGTCTGAACAGAGCTGCGCAGGGCAGCAAACAGACTGGTCGCTGGAATTATTTCCTGCCTACATGTAGAAGAGTGGGAAATACTCGTTAATTTGGGGGGGGGCTGGGAAATGGTATAACCAGTTCATAAAAAATAAATATACAAATAATTGAGACACAAAATGATCCCTGTTCATTGTTTGCATCCTGGGAATGATCTCACTGTGCTGGCGTTATTCCATAGGCTGCACACCAGACTGCATGAGATCAGAAAACACCCCAGAGGAACTAAAACAATTAATAATTAAAAAGTTGAAAATTGGATGAGAAACGAACACCTGTCTTTATGGTTCATTTCAAAACTTTGAAAATATTTTTGTATCAAGGGATTCAAAGCATCCATGTTTTTGAATCTCTTTTTGCTGAAACATTTCTTAAAGCTTTTCCTTAAGTTAGTGTTTTCTCAAAAATATCAGGTGTGGCATCACCGTTTTTCACTATCAAATGCAGTGGTTCTGAGCATCGGGACTGTTTGGCTCTAACTATTGGCACAGTTTTGCTGCGCTTACGGGGAAAACCATCCGCTTACCTACAGCCGCCCCGTTCTCTCTATCGAGAGACGCCTGTCCCTGTGCTTCCCTGTGTGATGGGGATGGCACAAGAAGGTAACTGGTGTTTACAACCCACTGTAAGTAGCTCGGGTGAGACGATGCCAGAGCACTGTAAGCTATTACATGATAATTAGATATACTGTCTTTTCTCTCCAGGTGGCTAGGTGAATTCAGAGTTTATCTTAGTGATTGCATTTTTAAAGATAAAACCCTAAACCTGTGCATTTCTTCCCTTTGAGGCCCTGGGCATGGTGGGAGGTGTCAGGACGGTGCAGGGCTGCCACACGTGTGCCGTGTGTGTGTGCCCGTCTTCTTGCAGGGCATTAAGTTGCCGGGTGCCTGGCTCAGGCTGATGGCAGGTGAATGGGGACTGGTGTAATTAGCTCATTAAAACCAGGTAATGTCTTGTAAAGTCACTCGGGTGGATATACAATAGGCATA